CGTGACTAACCCACTGGCAGAAGATTTAGAGGACGGGAAGGAGATGTATAAAGCCCAGAATAGAGCAGAAAGCAAGCTGAAGAAGGAAAAGTTAAAAAGACGCCCAGAAAACAAGAGCGTGCCTTACTCTCAACAGGTCCCAGCAAAAGCAGCAAATTCGATCCCGGTAAACGTTAGTGGTGGATCCAGGTCTGATGTACGACCCGGTAGATACTTTCATTGTTATGAGTTTGGGCACTGGATTAGGAACTATCCACAGTCTGCTGCAGAGCAAACACATAAGATAAGTATTGATACTACTATATGTAACCTTGATAACGTAAAACTGAATACACACCCAAAGACAGATAAAGCATTGATTAAACTCTATGCAATGAGTAATGTCAATTCGATAACAAAACAAACATCACGTGATGTCGAGTCAATGAGCAATACACATACTACTACTATAGTAAAAATAACGGTACAGGTGTAGGTCATTTAAAATATAGCGTGAACGAATGGAAGAAAATAGGTGCTACGGATTTCATTATAGATATTTAGATATCATATAGCAAACGGGTATAAAATTCCTTTGCATGTTGAATTACAAAATAACAAATCGGCACGAGACAATCACGAATTTGTAAAGAGCGAGATTGAAAAACAGGTAGAAAAAGGATGTATTACTCTAATAAGCCTTTTTAGTTAATCCTCTAACTGTAGCTTATAATAGAGGTTCAAAACTAAGATTAGTTTTAGATGCAAGACATATCAATCCACAAATATGAAGATGCAAAAACTGTAAGACAAAAGTTTAGAATGGTTGGGTTTTCATTGGGATATGGCAGACGGGGTTATAAGAATTACCAAGAAAAGAATAGAAAAGCTTTTGAAAAATTTAGAAGTTTTCAGGACACAATTTCACTACTGTATTAGGGTTTGCAGGGTGAAATTCATTGCAAGTATTGTAGAACAGATTATATCAATGCAGCCTGTATTAGGAGATCAGGCACGTTTAAGAACAAGGTATTTGTATCAATGTACATTACAAAAGGCAAGTTGGGACGCCCAGGTACTAGTTAGTATGGACGCATTCAAGGAATATAGTTTTTGGGAACAGAAAGCTAGAAGCTTGATCGAGATAGGATCTGGGTTACGTCAGTTGACTTATTATGAAACACAAGATTATTATGTGTTCATCGATGCATCTGGTACAGGTTTCGGTGGTTTTGTTACTACTGGTTCAGAGGACGAACCTTTAGAAATGTTTGTTAGTTGGCGGAACAGGCCGAAGGTTCGACCTAGAGAGAGATCGAGGCTGTACAAAGGATATTGATACATTTTGTCAATATTCTCACTGGTAAGGTTATCAGAGTGTTCACAAACAACAAGAATATCACACATATACTTAATATTGGTAGCAGGAAGATGGTTTTGCACAAGAACGCTTTGTTCGTAGATGAATTTTGCAGAGATATTGCAATTAAGTTGAGCTCGGTTTGGATACATCGAGAAACAAACCAGTATGCAGATACTTTAAGTAGGGTAACAGATTGTGATGACTGGGAAGTACAAGATGAGTTTTTTTCTGTACCTTACTCATATGTGGAGTCCACATGATATAGATAGGTTTGCGCATGATTACAATGCCAAGTGCAATCAATTAAATTCAAAGTCTTGGTGCCCCGGGACTACCGGGACTGCCGGGACAGACTCGTTTACAGTAGAATTGGGCGGACATAATAATTGGGAATTTCCAATGCCAAGTGTGATTTCAAAGGTAATTAATAAGATTAGTCGAGAAAATGCAATGGCCCTTTAGTCATCCCAGAATGGACATCGGCACCATTTTGGCCCATTGTGGTGGATTGACTTGGAAATTTGAAGAACTTCATAGTTGATAACAAGTTTTTTCAAGGGGAAAATAGAACTGAAAGAGGAAGACGGCAGTGCGGAGTGTTGTTTGGACAACGGCGTTTAAAATTTAGATTAATTGCTATAAGAATAGAATTTTAGTTTTCAATATACTTATGGCGTTATTTATTTTGACAGGATTTAGATTATACCGCACAGTGTAGGAGACCGTCCAGGACAGTGGGATAGAAGTTGACAGTTATATGTACGAGCTTTATCCGAAGATGTGTGAACTGTTGATCAACTCTAAAAGTGACAATACCGTTAAATCATATTTTAATTCATATAAACGATTGGAACGTTTCAATTCATTGCAAGTTCATACATCTTTGCCAGCTCAGCCAGTTCATGTTGCACTGTATTTAACCCATTTATTGAACAATAATTCAACTTATCATCCTGTTTTCAATGCAGTATACGGTATTAAATGGGCACATGAGATAAATGGACTAAAAGACCCTACAACAAACACTTTCGTAACATCGATTCCTGAAGCCTCTAAAAGAGTAGCAAAAAAAAAGACAGAAAAGAAAGATCCGATTAATCCTGAAACTTTAATTGAACTTTGTGACATGTTTAAAGTTTCTTCCGATTTACTTGTTATAAGGGATTTGACAATGATGATTTTGAAACGACCAATACAGACAAAGTTTTGAAGTCTTGATATCTAGGGGTATCTCAGCTGCTTGTCCTTACACAATGTTTATAAGGTACACTAGGTTGACGGGTTTTTCTTGACTCTGGTCAGCAGAATTTTTATTTGTTTCGGCTTAGTTATAGATCTCGTTATACATGCTCATAATTAAAGATAAAAAACTTAAGTTACCCGGTGGCTAGAGAGTCAATTCTTAAGAGAATCATAAAATTTTTCCAGAGGGAAACATAGGTCTTCATTCATTCAGATTCGGTGGGGCAACGGTGGTGGCTAACGCTGATGTTAGCGACAGATTCTTAAAGAAGCACGGCAGATGGAAGTCTGACTCTAGTAAAGACGGTTACATAGTAGATTCCACTGAGAAATGTTTGAAGATTTCTGTAGATTTCCCCTTTCTTTCATTTTTTTATCACGTACGACGGGCTGTCGGCAAATTTGAATTTGCGTTTGATTTATTTATTTTCTGCAATGCATACGAAGTAGGTGTTGTTGGTGTGCTGTCAATGCCAGAATATGGAATCATTTGAGTGTCTGTCGTCTGTAGTATAGAGAATACTAATATTTTCCCTCGTTTCAATCAGTATAGCGGGAAAATGTTGTATTATCGGTTTGCAATCGTTAAATTTTGGTAGGCCGATGTTGAACTGTCTAATCAAGGGGCTGATCTGTTGTCATATTTAAGGTGATTTTGTGTAGTAGCTTCACTTTCTAGCCGTCGATTGACCGAGTAAACTCCATTATTTGAAATGATGCTTTAATATATCTATTATAATATTTTTGCTTTTCGTAGTACACATTTTGTACCGACGAGGTCCGACGTCATTATCCTGAGATAGGCTCGAGCATTGATTCGGATACAAGTTTTCATAATGCGGTTTTTCCTGTTCGGCCTTGACTATCAATGAGGGGTGATTCATCAAACGTGCAGCTTCCAATATTTTGCTGTGTTTTACATATGATTGGTGAATGAAAACGCCAATTGATTCCTGGTTTATATGTTAATTTCATGATATATCACGATTATATATTATATACAATTATATCTGGCGTCCATCACGTACGACGGGCTGTCGGCAAATTTTAATTTGCGTTTGAGTTATTTATTTTCTGCCATGCGTACGAAGTAGGTGTTGTTGGAATGCTGTCAATGGCAGAAAAGGGTGCCATTTGAGTGTCTGTCGTCTGTAGTATAGAGAATACATACATGTATATTGAAGGCCGTACTTTGACCTATAATTGTTAACTTTTTATACATTGTGACTTAGATGGAGAGTTGTCTCATTGGCACTCATACCACATCTTCTTATTTATATGTATATAAATTCACCGCTAAGATATGTCTTAAATACAGCATTAAATACGCTTGGCAAGGATGGTTTTCTTTTTTTAAAAATTCATACAAACAATTATTACAACAATGTGGTTATAAGTACAAACAACAACAAAATGATAACACAAAAAAAGATATACCAATATAATATATGGAACATATATGGTGGTGTAGGTATGGTCTAAACAATATACACAGGAACACTACATAATGTAAAATTAAGCAAGTAATGGACGCCAGTGATTCCAGCAATATTGGCCGTGTAAAGAGGCTAAATGTTAAAAATATATTCTTTTCTAGTATTAGATTTTCTCTGAGATAATTTTTGAGTCCAGTAAAAATTATTTGGTTTTACATAGTTTTGTTCTATTAATTAAGAATTATTATTTGTGTTTTGTTATAAATCCAGTCACCGAGTTTTATCCACACATCAGTTATTTTATTACATGTCCAATAAATAACTCTGGTAGGTACATTGCACTGATTTGCCGATAAATTTCTTCAAAACAGAAATCGGGGACAAATTTACACAAAACGGCTAAACCAAAAACATGTACAGACAAGGATATTCCTATCATTTTTAATTCTTTATAAAAACGAAAACAACACTTTTTAAATTTCATGCCTCCGAAATAACTTTTCTGTATTTATCTTCATCGGGTCAAGCTAAAAGCCAAATGTTTGAAAGCCAAAGATGTATTAAAACCGAAACAGTTGGAGAACTATATGACCAAAAAGGAACTTAAATTCATCTGATAGCCAACTTAAGTGAAATTTCCTTGATATAGTTGAAACTTTAGCTTTTTAATAATTCCACAATTCGTAAACGAACAAATTAAGAACCTTGTCAGTACCTAAGAACTGACTATCAAGCTGATGATACCCTTGGGGACTGATAGTCCACCAGCAGCGCTTTATAAATTGCATGCGTCCGAACGCTCAAAGCCAAATATTTAAATACAAAGAATGTATAAGAACCGAAGCAGTTGAAAAGCTTTATGACCAGCGAAGGCATAAAAATTGATAACTACATCAATCTAAGGTCAACTTTGCCTGAGGGAGTAGGTATTGTAATTTATATAATTTCAGTTTAATAAATTGTGGGATTATATAATTCAGGTTCACTGACGTTCTAGTAGCAGCTAATGATTATATCAAGTATAAAGTGGAGGAAGGGTAAGGACATTAACAGAAAATTACACTCTAATCCTTGGAAGAATTATAAGATGCAATCATCAATTATGAATAAAGTTAAGGAATTGAGAACCAAACGACAAAGGCCAAAACAGTACAAACTTACTATGTCAATTTACAATATCATGCAACATTACATAGCATTCAACATTAAAGCTTTCTGAAATATCTGCGACACGAACGGTAATTTTTCCTTCGATCTTCGAGTGTATTTACAGTTTTGTCTTATATTGGACTATTCGATTCCGCCATTGACCGCTTGTCATAGGAAAATCATATCTTTTTAGGAGCTTAGCACAGTGCATTAACAACGATCTCAGAAGTTATCCTTGCACTGTCTTGCTCCGCCACCTTTGGCCAGTAAATAAGAATAAAACAGAATGTAATATCAATGACCAATGATCAAATTTCCCTATAAATAAAAAAAACCAAACTGAATTCACAACAAATTATCAAAACATGAATTCTGGAGGAGTGCTTTATTTACCCGAACAAAATGGGGAAGTACCAGATTAAACGTTAGCTTTAAGCTGAATCTAACCAAACCGTACCCTTACACTAGTGAAACTCCTAAACCTAACCGTAAATTATCAAGGGTATCACATAATTCCTTAAAATTGGAGTAAATGAATGCCCTAGGGAAGCTTCAATAAGAAATGAACGTAGAAGCAACGTAACATTGGGAAGTTTTTTTTCTATCAAATACTTTCAAATTCCTAGAAATACAGATAAGTAGTAGCACATACCTTAAACTATTGTTTAAGGCAGACCATGATCTCCTTTTTCCTAGTTACCCGTCCGGTGAATTTCAAGGAGAAACTGGTTTCGGTTCTGCCTTTTCTGGATTGGTACCTGCTTATCGTGTCAGTATAGAATAAACATTCCAAAATATATCTATTTACACAAGGTTTTCTTACGTGAATTCAGTATGTTTAAAATGGATTTTACACTATCAATAACCAACCAATTTATTGATCTTTTTCATGTCGTTGAGGAAGTGAAGAATACCTTCACAATTGCTTTAAAATGTGTCTCTTTAATCACAACGTTTACGAGACCCTATTAACTTTGAAATCAGGCAAAATGCATCAAACAAGATTTTGCATCAATCCCCTCGTGCATTTTCGGGGAGGTATTCAATTGAATTAGGCGACAGTTGTTTACCGACGTTCACCCTCGTAAATCGATTCAGAAAAGACAAATAATGGATAACAAACAAAAACTGAGGGAATTGCATGGATTCCAAAAGGAGCAATAACAGTAACACATAAATCGCTCTCTCAGGTCCGTAAATCTCACGGCAACATTTCAGTTACATGTTTTTGAAATTCTACAAAAAAGCTGATTCATCTGATCATTTGCTGAAAGTACCGAAGTTTTGTACATCGCATAGTATACGCGCCACTTTTTGGTTGATATATTTAATTCACAGATAAGTTCCATTGACCAGCCTGTAACCTTAGACATGTATCATTGCCCATTCATATTAAAAATCATATATAGCCATACCTTACTCATTAATATATGCTATGCACTCACAAAGCTACGCTTTTTTGTGCTTTAAATAAGTTATTTCCTTAAAGGCATTCTATATATATATATATATGTTTGCGGTATACCATCTTTTCCGCAAGTTTATTGTTTTCTATTTGGTATTAAATTAATAATAAAGATCCATTTTGTTACATGTGGTGATCCGTTTATTTGGCAATCGCCATAGCATGGCAGTCAGAAGGATTTAAGAACATCCGTTGTTCGACCTGCTAGTCAAATGCGTTTTGTTAAAATATACTTTATCACTTTTTGGTCTTTAGGAAAATGTTGTTTGTGCTGTATTTAGACCCCTCTACCAAGAAATTTGTTTTGCATGCACACGTATAAAAATTGCAGTTTTTATCAAACGCAATCATAGGTTTGAACGTTGTTTTTAATTTAGACTTGTTTATATTTTTCGTTTGGGTTAATATAATCCGTTCATCCTATTTCGACTCTTCAAAACTCAAGAGTCAATCCTAAATTGAGGTAAATTATATGGCCGTCCAAATACCGTTTCGTTTCCTATCATCACTGAAGAGACATTCATCGTCGAAATCCGGATATGGTGTACACATTTTTGAACCTCATGTTTGCGGTATACCATCTTTTCCGCAAGTTTATTGTTTTATGTTTGGTATTAAATTAATATTTAAGATCCATTTTGTTACATCTGGTGATCCGTTTATTTGGCAATCGCCATGGCAGTCAGCAGGGTATAAGAACATCCGTTGTTCGACCTGCTAGTCAAATGCGTTTTGTTAAAATATACTTTTTCACTTTTTTGGTCTTTTCAAAAATGTTGTTTGTGCTGCATTTAGACCCCTTTATCAAGGAATTTGTTTCGCATGCACATATATAAAAATCGCGGTTTTTATCCAACGCAATAATAGGTTTGAACGTTGTTTTCAATTTAGACTTGTTTATATTTTTTTGTTTGGGCTTGCATTATATTTGCCTTCGGGTTTATATGATCCGTTCATCCTATTTCTAATATTTGGACTCTTAAAAATTCAAGAGTCTATCCTAAATTGAGGTAAATTATATGGCCTTCCAAATACCGATTCAATCCCTAACATCACTGAAGAGACATTAATTGTCGAAATCCGGATATGGTGTACTAATTTTTGCACCTTTTGTTTGCGGTATACCATCTTTTCCGCAAGTTTATTGTTTTCTGTTTGGTATTAAATTAATAATTTTAAAAGATCCATTTTGTAACATCTTGTGATCCGTTTATTTGGCAATCGCCAATGGCAGAAAGCAGGGTTTAAGAACATCTGGTGTTCGACCTGTTAGTCAAATGCGTTTTGTTAAAATATACTTTTTCATTTTTTTGGTCTTTTGGAAAATGTTGTATATATATAAATGTCTAAGAATATGTCTTAAACACGCTAATTGATACATTAAAAAGTTCTATTAGATTTTAAATAGATATACGCAATATTTCGCTAGACAAACTAGCTTCATCAGGCGTGTGCATCTATCAAGGTGAAATCGGATGCTTGACAAAAAAATATTGTTGTAGCTTAAACTACACAAAGTAGGAATAAGGTTTAATATATTTATTGATATTCTATAAATTGTATGATTTCAAGGTAATTATTTGTTTTTAAATCTTTTCTCGTCTCTCTCATTGAGTCCATCAGATTCAAAAGTCCGTAACTGGTGCATCCAAAATTTCTTTCTCTTTTGTCTTCCTTGTATGTCCTAATTTTGGTTTTTCTCAATGATTTGAAATGTGACGTTTTCAAAATCATGCCCCTCTCTTAAAAGATGTATTGTGATTGGGCAGTTTCTTTCTTTGGTATAACATGACCGATGGTTATTCAGTCGGATGTTGAATGGTGATTATGTTTCACCAACATATTGCAACTTGCAAGTTCCACACGTTAGAACATAAATACAATTTTGCGTTTTGCAATTAGATGTTATAAATATGTTGTATTTATTTTTTGGGACTGTGCTGACGAATTGGGGTTCAATGTTGGCGATTTTGCAGCACTTACAATTGCCTCTTCCGCATGTTTTATAACCTCCTATTTTCGATGTATCTTGTTCAGATACTTTAGATGTAACTAGAATATCTTTGAGGTTTTTGGATCTGCGGTAAGCCATGACGGGAGGTGATGGAAAAATCTCTTTTAAGGACGGATCATTTTCAATAAGACGCCAGTGTTTGTGGACAATAGATAAAAGATTTGTCAGGTCAGGATGAAAGCTGACAACAAACGGAATTTTATTTATCTGGGCCGTCTTTTCTTTGTATTCAAGAAGGTTTGTACTGTCTTTTTCTTTTGCTTTACCGAAAGCTTCTGAATTTTTTTTTTTGTTCTTATAACCTCTTGATTTAAGTAGTTGTATGAGTTGTCCCAAACGGTGGTTTAATTTTGATTCCGATGAGCAAATTCGCTTTAACCTGATAGCTTGGCTGTACGGAATGCTTCGGGAACAGTGTTCTGGGCGACAACTCTTCGAAGAGAGAAATTGGTGTTTGTCAGTTTTTTTTTGTGTGAAGGTCGGTTGTCATGACTCCGTTTTCTAAAGTTATGGTGGTGTCCAGGAACGCAATTTTCTCATTTGAATCTTCAGATGTGAACTTTATAGATTAATGAAAGTTATTACAGAGATCTAAAAAAAATTTGTAGATGTTCTGCAGTTTCGTTCCATTTGATTTCGATGTCATCAATATAACGGAGCCAAGACAAGGGTTTGTATGGCACACTCGAAATGATGCGTTCTTCGAGATTCCCCATGAAAATGTTGGCAAAAGAAGGTGCCATTTTGGTTCCCATACTGGTACCGTCGATCTGCAAGTAGTGCTGGTTGTTGAATACAAAATTGTTGTTTTCGAGCACTAGTTTCAGGAACTGAACCAGACAGTCGGTTGGGGGATGTTTATCCTTACGATTGTTCCATACTTTTTCACAAGCGACTTCTCCTTCATTCTTTGGAATATTGGTGTATAAAGAACACACATCCATCGATACCAAAATTGTGTTGTTTGGTAAGGGATTTAATGAATCCATTTTCTTCAAATAATCTGTGGTATCTTGAATGTAGGATGGCATTGTTCTTACATGTGGTCTAAGATGGTAATTAACGAATTCAGATATTTTTTCGGTTGGGTGCCCATTGGCAGATACTTTCGGTCTTCCCTGAATCCCTTCTTTATGAAGTTTTGGGAGCAAGTAAAATCGACCAGCTGTGCAGGTTTCATCAGGTCGTAGATAGTCGTGCTAATTTCTTTTGCAGGATCACATTCTAATTGTTTGTAAAATTTGGTGTTTGAGAGCTGACGATTCCCTTCTTCAATATAGTCGGTTTTGTTCATCACAACAACTGCACTTCCTTTGTCTACTTGTTTAATAACAATATCATCTCGGCTTTTTAAATTGTTCATGGTTTGGCTTTCTTGTTCTGAGAGATTCCGCATGCGTTTGCCACTGACTGATGATTTTACTTCATTTTATTGGATGATAAAAAAGATTCTATATTATCGTTCTTACTTCTGGGTTGATTCCAGTCGCTTTTCTTTTTAAGTCTAGGGATGCACATGCCTTCTTTTTCACTCTCATATTCAGAATCATTCATTCCGGCTTCCTGTAAGTTTTTGTTTTGTGTTGCCTATTGAAATTTTTCTTCAGGCGAAGACGTCTTGCAAATTGCTATACATTTGTCTCCAATTGCAGGTTGTTAATATTGGCTGGTATAGGACAGAAATTAAGGCCCCTACTCAACAATTTTTCTTCGGAGTTTATTAATTCTATCGACGTCAGATTAACAACTAAATTATTCTCCGTGGGGTGTTTCCGTTTTTAAACCGTCTTTTTCTAGGTTTTTTAAATTCACTCTCTCTTGGAATTTGATTTATATCAAAACATGAAATTTGCTGTTTTAGACGATCTCTGGTGAATTTCTTTTGTTGCTTGTTTTTGTAGTTTTGCCTTTCTATTCTTTCTATATCGGATAAACTTTTCTTGATTAAATCCATGTCTTCGTTAGTAATAGACACTGGTGTTTTAGAAAGCATTTCATTTATTCCAGAATTGATTTGTTTGTATGAATAGATAGAAAAGAGTAAAAGTTGGAGAAGCCGTAAAGAATAATTGAATAAAGTTTCGTCCTAACGTTTCATAAATCTGAAGGACTTTACACCCGGTGTTTGTTGTGTCAACTTAATATTCAAACCGTTTGGTATTTTGTTGTTATATATATTTGATTTAATGTTACATGATGTTCAACTTGTATTTTCTGTATTGTTAAACTTCTTAGTTTGTTAAAATAAGTTCTTTGTTCCATGATATTATCAGAAAATAGATATGAAATGATTACACACAAAAAATATGTGTAATGCGTGTTGCCTGCGAGAATAATATATAATGTATAAAAATAGCAACAATCAACATCCAATCTATTTAGGCGTGCATCAGCTTGTAAAATAAACCGATACAGTTACTGAATTAAAATTATATATATATGTCTAAGAATATAGCTTAAACACGCTAATTGATACATTAAAAAGTTCTATTAGATTTTAAATAGATATACGCAATATTTCTATATAATTATATATATATATATATATATATATATATAACTTTAGAAATAACGATTAACGAAATTGAATACGTACTCTAATTAAATATAATAATAAAAAGAGGCGGAATATACCAAGGGGATATTCAAGTCTAGTCAGTCGTAAGATTACTGATATCACCATGCCAAAAAAAGAAGAAAGACGACGTAAAATTTAACACGCCCACAGTGAATAAAAAAATTAAAAATAAACCAACAAGAAGCCAACTAAAAACTGAGAATGATCTTATGTGCTTTCGAAGGTTAAGTTAATCCTGCTTTACTAGTGGCACCCTTCATATTACTCATGGTAAGTACAAATTAGGTGATAAGTCTCATTCGGTGATGTCACAATCCAGGAAACGAGGACGGGATTTTGGTTGGGACAATTAAGATATAAGCTCGGCCACCTGTTACACAGATATTCTCGTGATGAATATGCTAAAGAATTTTCTTAAAAATTTCAATTTATATATAGAATTAAAAAACAAAAATAATATTAAATTATGTATCAATTGTTAGTCAAACCTAAATTATTGCAATATATTGATTCAGGCTAAAAATCATTGAACTAATTCTTTTCTTTTTACATAGGGGAAAAGTTATATATGTGAAGATGAGTGAAGCCTGGAGGCATCCGAAAGTATATGAAAAGCTTACTGATAGCATTTTTGATGAAATCTTAGTTAATAAGAAACCAAAATTGAAAAAAGCACAGAAGTTGATCAAAAACGTCTATAAACGTAAACTGTACAGCCTTGTCGATGAATCATCACCGAAGAAGGTAAGTATGATTATTGTGTTATCTATTTGATAAAATTTGACATATCCAAACAGAACATCATTTTGCTGACAAGGCAATATCTGTGAAATAACTTTAATGAACCAATATAGCATTTTATAAATTTTGTGCGTCCAAGCTATAATCAGACTCGTAACAGGATTAAACACGTTTGCACAGATGTCTTAGATAGTGCTATGATTAAAATAAGAATTAGCTCATTAATTTTACCCTGTTCAACAAAATTAACAGAGAAATGAGTGAAAATCACCGAGAAGTACAAGATTGACTGGAGAGATATTTCTGATTTCTTCTTAATTAAACAGAAAGGGTCATATTTGTAAACTCCAATAAAACTAGTTTGGAAATTTTCAAAACGTGAAAATAAATCCATGCAAAAACCATTCCAAGCAAAAATATTAGCATGAAGTATTTGCAATGAATGGATACAAAGAATACCGGTTATATATAGATTTAACATGGTTGTGCTGATATTTAGAGTAATTATATATATATCTATATATATAAACAAGTCTAAATTGAAAACAACGTTCAAACCTATGATTGCGTTGGATAGAAAACGCCATTTTTATACATGTGCATGCAAAACAAATTTCTTGGTAGAGGGATCTAAATACAGCACAAACAACATTTTCCAAAAGACCAAATGATTAAAAAAGTATATTTTAGCAAAACGCATTTGACTAGCAGATATATATGTATATATATACAGCACAAAAACATTTTCTTAAAGACCAAAAAAGTGAAAAAGTATATTTTAACAAAACGCATTTGACTAACAGGTCGAACAACAAATGTTCTTAAACCCTGCTGACTGCCATTGGCGATTGCCAAATAAACGGATCACCGATGTAATAAATGGATCTTAATTTTAAATTTAATACTAAACAGAAAACAATAAACTTGCGGAAAAGATGATATACCGCAAACAAAAGGTGAAAAGGTTTTTGTACACCATATCCGGTTTTCGACAATTAATGTCTCTTCAGTGATGTTAGGAATCGAAATGGTATTTGGAAAGCCATACTATTTACCTCAATTTAGGAGAGACTCTTGAATTTTGAGGAGTCAAAATAGGATGAACGGATCATATTAACCCGAAGGCAAATATAATACAAGCCCAAACGAAAAAAATATAAACAAGTCTAAATTGAAAACAACGTTCAAACCTATGATTGTGTTGGATAAAAACCGCAATTTTTATACGTGTGCATGCAAAACAAATTTCTTGTTAGAGGGGTCCAAATACAGCACAAACAACATTTCCCAAAATACCAAAAAAGTGAAAAAGTATATTTTAACAAAACGCATTTGACTAACAGGTCGAACAACAAATGTTCTTAAACCCTGCTGTGTGCCATTGGCGATTGCCAAATAAACGGATCACCGATGTAATAAATGGATCTTAATTTTAAATTTAATACTAAACAGAAAACAATAAACTTGCGGAAAAGATGATATACTGCAAACAAAAGGTGCAAAGGTTTTTGTACACCATATCCGGATTTCGACAATTATTGTCTCTTCAGTGATGTTAGGAATCGAAACAGTATTTGGAAAGCCATATAATTTACCTCAATTTAGGATAGACTCTTGAATTTTGAGGAGTCAAAATAGGATGAACGGATCATATAAACCCGAAGGCAAATATAATACAAACCCAAACCAAAAAATATAAACCATTCTAAATTGAAAACAACGTTCAAACCTATGATTGCGTTGGATAAAAACCGCAATTTTTATACGTGTGCATGCAAAACAAATTTCTTGTTAGAGGGGCCTAAATGCAGCACAAACAACATTTTCCAAAAGACCAAAAAAGTGAAAAAGTATATTTTGACTGCCATTTGCGATTGCCAAATAAACGGATCACCGATGTAATAAATGGATCTTTATTATAAATTTAATACTAAACAGAAAAAAAAAAAGTGAAAAAGTATATTTTAATAAAACGCATTATATATATAAGTTATATATATATATCAGCCCAACAATGTTAGATCTGTAAATTTGCTTTCGCAAATTTTTTGTTCTTCCCTCGCTGGGATTCGAACTCATGCTACTGAGATATCGAGGCACCAATTCGCCTTGCACTATGCCCGACGCGCTAGACCACTAGGCCACCTAGGATCTACAAAAATAAGGCTTTCGGTGGCCGGGTGTTTAAATTCCTCGTCAGTTTTAATCTAGCGTTGTAACACAGTACATGATATATAAAAGAGGGACAAAAGATAAGGCATGAAGATGGAATTGTTACAGATCAGCTGAATTATCTATTGTAAAGGATCCTACAAAATAATGTAAGATGCAGTCACAGAAATAATTCTATTACAAGTATGTCTGAACCAGTGATGACTCTATAACAGATTTTATCCATCAGATCACCAGCAGTGATGGTGATACAAGGCTGAATATACATTCTGTATATATAATTCGTCTAAACATCAGCCCAAGAATGTTAGATCATTAAATTTGTTTTCGCACTCGACCACCTAGGCTCTATATATATATATATATATATATATATATATATAAAACGTCTTGATATTAGTCAACGATCTTTCTTACGAGGGCGCTCGATCGTTACGAGTAACGATACCTGTACACAATAAATAAGTTAAATAAACGCCTAAAAAGTGTACAAAACAACACCAATTTAAAAAAAAAGGAAACATTAAATGTAAGTATCTATTAATATTTCGGATAACAGATATCCTTTATCAGTATGATTATGATGTAAAAAAAAACCTATCAATCTATTCTGATTTAACTTTAACAATCTTTAAATTATACAATTAAAACCGAACAACGCTTGTACAATTCTAAAATTTTATGCTAATATCTTTATGGGCAAATTAGAACAGCAAATTCTCAATTCTTCTTTTTATCAACCTCTCTCTAGGTTCCGATTCATCGACGATATTGACAGGAAGTGGGATAATACTGAACAAGAACTCAATGTGTTCATCAACATGCCAACGATGCCCATTTCCTCAATAAAATTCACTTATGAAATCTCTGACTCTAAGACCACCTGTACTGGCTTTCCTGGTACGGAATACACCATATTTTGCAATGGTAATTGCAATACTATAAATGCTGTGTATCTTCTACAGTGTTAATGTGGTAAACAGTATGTTGGCGAGTCAGAACAGCCATTTCACAAACGTATGAGCGGCAATCGTAGCGACTATGAATGCAAGCTAGACCTTCCCCTCAGTCGACATTTTAGATCCCCTGGCCACACTAAGGCAGATTGTAATCGACTGACCATTACAATCATAGACCACAACACTGCTTTGTCTAGGGAGGATAGACACACTCGGGAAAGATTTTGGATAAAACAATTAAAATCTTTGGCACCAAATGGGATCAATGAAAAGGTTTCAATTCGCGCAGTGCTTTTCATTTGGGTTATAATACATATTACTACGCAGTCTCTGTTTCACTTTCAATTACTTAACCTTTGACAAATTTAAAAAAAAATAAAATTAAACTGCTATTTATTTGGGATGTGTAAATACGCAGCCTCTGTTGTAATTATTTAACCCTCGTCAAATTTGAAATTTGAGTATTATACCAGCTCTAACCGGTCTGTACTATTCATTGGGAATGTATTTCTACGCAGTCTTTGTTGTATTAACTCAACTTTCGTCACCTGTGTAATTTTAGAAATGTACCAGTTCATATCGCACATTACTATTTTTGTTAGAAGCATATCTATGCAGTCTCTGTTGTAAATACCTAACCTATGTCATTTTTGAAATTTTAGAATTGTACAAGCGTTGTTCGGTTTGTATTGTATAAATTTAAAGATTGTTATAGTTAAATCAGAATAGATTGATATGATTCCTTTTACATCATAACCATACTAATGAAGGATATATGTTATCCAATATATATACGTCTAAACATGTGACAACTTTAAGACAGACTTTCTCCATCGGATAACACGTGGTTATACAGGGCTAACACCATAATATATTTATTTATAATTCGTCTCAAATTTAGCCCAACAATGTTAGATCTTCAAATTTGCGGGATTCGAATCCTTGATTTTGTGACATCATGGCAACACCGCCTGCACCATGTCCAGCGCCCTAGATTACTCGACCACCTAGGCTACATAAAAATATAGTTTTCGGTAGTCAATGTAATGCCTTTCCTCGTCGGCTTTACCTAGGGGTTGTAACACAGTACATGATGGATAGTGCCACTATTCTGTCTTGCGAGGGCGTTGGATCGTCATGAAACATAGGACACAATAAATTGATTATATATACGCCTAAATAAAGGCAACAGTAGTATACCGGTGTTTAAAAGTCATAAATCGATTGAGGGAAAACAAATCCGGGTTACAAACTAAAACCGAGGGTAACACATTAACTATAAGAGGAAAACAAAGGAACAACAGGAACACTGAAGTACAACAGAAACAAACGCCAACATACATAGAAACGAACTGTTTGATAACAACTGCCATATTCCTGACTTGGTACATGACATTTTAAGAAAAAATGGTGGGTTGAACCTGGTTTATGGCTAGCCTAACCTCCCGCTTTATGACAATATTAAAAAATATCGCTAAAATGACAACACTACGTGACAGAAATACAGCACAAACACACGCAAGAACATTCATTACAGAGAAACGCACAAACAACTAATATAATTGTCGACACAACATGCAAACCACAGAACAACAACGAACATATTCCATCAACGACAAACACCACAGGATATCACAAACAATGACGCGCTTACGTAACTAACATGCAATCTCGAACTTTATACAATTATTTTCACAATACTAGTCCAAACAGTTTTCATGACAATGCTGGTATTGAAAGGCAATTTTATAATTATCTGGACTACAAACGAAAAGAAATAACACATTATCCAACCGAAACCATCAAACATCAAAAATAAATACATGAATGTTGGATGTACAAAATACCAAGACAAGTCGTATAGCAATGCAC